CCCCCCCCTTTCTCTTTACTCGGAAGATATATAGAATATTTCCGCAAATTAGAATAATATGTATTGTACGACTATGAGATGCTGATTAAACAATATAAACATGTGCACATGGTTATTGTATTAACCCATGTGAAAATTACGAAAGGATGAAGAGATTCTACGTGACAAAAATCTAAAAGCGGCTGGACGGACACGATTATATGGAATTATTTTAATAGAGGCACGCACTAGATAGGATTTTTCAGATAAAGTGGGATTTGCGAATAGTATTCGAAAGATATCAAGCATTGAGATACTTATGCTGACTTATATACCTAATATTTTATAGTGTTTTCTTAACACTTCTTTCACTAGAAAAATTTGTAATAACTCGATGAAAATATTTATAACATGATATTTTTATAATATAATACTTATAATGTTACATATAATAATTTTACAGATATAAAAAATTGAGGTGCAAAAAAATTTCTACATTTACTATGGTTTATTAAAAATATATATCACGCATCAATTTTTTGTTTATGTTTATTTTAGTCATGGAGAGAAGTACATTTTATTTTTTTTAGTGTAATGTGGATTTTATATACGTAGACGCGAGCAATAAAAAGGATTAATTGTAGGTAGGAATTAACTGGATAAACGCAATTTATCAGTATTATATCAATTTCATATGCGTCAATCGCAACATATGGAACATTGAATTGAATAACGTGAGATTTTCGTAAATCATGTGCAGAGAATCCGGGGAAGTAAAATAACGATTCCCGAATACATGGATTTTGATTGGTCGAGCTATCGTTTCATTCGCAGCTCGGCTTACCGCAAGATATTGCTTTCGCTCCGCATAGTATAGCCAGATCAAACAGTCAGCAATTATAACCTGGAGTAAACTGAGTAGTAATAATAAAGATAAAGGTCAGACATAAATTAGTTACAAGGGATCGGCGTAATTTATGAGGAATGGCATTATTGTCTTTACAGCTGCTTTTAAAACTTTTACATTAGTAATTATCATCCAGAATTCGTGATTACGATATTCAAATGTTTAACCCGGGGCTCTATTGTTTACTACGCTGTAATTTGATTATCATGGTTGTGTTTACACATGAGAGAATATTCATGTTGACAACCTTGAAGTTCGTAATTATTCCTACGCGCATGATAATGCATCCTTATGAAGGTTGCATTACGAATAATTTGTTTATAAATACGGGCATGATAGTCTCGTTACCTCAAATCATTATTAGTGAATTAATACAGCCATAATTAATTACAGCCATAATTCAACGTATACCATATATACATATGTTGACACGCTGTAATATTTCTACGCTCGTAACTATTTCACGGGATTATTGAAATGTTAATTAAATACACGACATTCTTGCATCATAATGTCAATAAGCATGTACACCACATCGTATAATAATCTGTCTAAAAGTAAACAGAATTGATCGCTTTATACATTTTCATGATCGTATATTTTCGGCTTCAGGCACAGAATTTTGAAAACTTGCCTGTTAGATCCCTGCAATCTCTCTCTCTATTTGCATTGTAACAACTTCGATTAAATTTGCCAATAGAATAGAGAAAGAGAAAGAGAGATACAATAGTTAGTGACAATAGAAGTTTTTATATTGTATACGAGACAAATTCGAAATAATAAATTTATCATACGTAGAGCATTAGAAAAATAGGATTGCATTATAGTTTGTTTGTATAACTCGGGGCAGAGGAAAACGTGCACGCGATTGGAAATCCGATAGCAAAATGCGGATCAACGTGATTAGTTTTAAAATTTTCACAAAAGAACACTCGCAGCGTCCAGTTGCCAGTTCCAATTTCATTTCTTTTTCCATTCTAGTATATTCTGCAAAAATGCATCATTTTCTCGAAAACAGGAGACTATTCGAATATTTAACACGGACGCTCGTGTTGCATTGGAGAGAAACATTAATTTTCACTGAACTAGCTTGTCTAATCCGAACTGAGGAGAAGATACAGACTATTGCTCTAACGAAGAAGAATGTATTCCGAGCGCAGTGTTCAAGCATTTCGCGAAACTGCATGTATCTGTGACCGCTTATTTCTGACGGTGCACAGCATCGCAGCGTACAAATAAACCACCGGTGAGCCGTTCATAATGGATGAACGTACGTAACGGTTGGACGAAGCTCTTCGATTATTTTTTATCCAGGAATTGGCTCGTATACACGATGCACGAGAATTGCATATACAATAAAACCACAATCAAACATCGGAACAACTGTTTCGTGCTGTCTGCTTTTCAATCTTGTCACCGGATAAATTCGTTGACAAGATTTAAAATCAGAAGGTGATGTGTTCTGTTTAGTTTCATCTCTGGTGCGACATTTTTACAGCGTGTTCTGTGTATTATTTTTTTGTCATTTTTTAAATTTAATTATACCTTTAAAAGATGAAAAGTTCGTTAGAGAGGCAGTTAATTATTGGATGATGTACATATTATTTGAATTTATTTTATAAAATTTCGGCAGATTAAAAAAAAATAGAAATTTATTCTGTAATTTTATTATATTATTGTTATTACAGTATAATTATTTTTTTATATTTTTTATATTATCTCTTATAATTTGATATGCTTTATATTATTCTATATATATTTGTTTTATATGTTTAAGATTACAACAATATTTCTCTTAATTGATATTTTTGATGAATATTTTTTTAGCATCTCTTTTCCCTCTCCCTCCCCCTTCCCTCAACATAATATACAATCAGTTCTTAACAAAATAAATCGGATCTTTTTTATGAATAGGGTGTACTTATTAAAATCAAAGTTTTTATTAAAAGTAGCAAATGTCTCCATCGAATTTCTTCTTTGTCACTAACAAAAAAGATTGAACAAGTTTTTTACAACTATGTCAGCGAATTGGCAGAACAATTGAACTGGTGACGAAGGAGGAGAACATAGCGAGGTGTGATATTCAAAGATCGCGTGAATTTCCCAGATGCTTCAATAACTGACAATGATGTTTGTTCTTTTGAACAAGTACCTGTAACAAGGAACTATCCCTTCGTCGATAATATTGCCGATGTTAGTAACAAAGGACTAGGCGCTTATCGTTCATTCCATCTTCATTATGACCTTTGTACTTCAAATGCGTTCCGTGTACAAATAGTGACATTATAGGATATTTGATAAGGAATGTGATTTAAATTTCTCAATGGAGAAACTAGTGTTAAAAAATATGAAATAAAAATGTTACAGCTGGTATATAATCGAGCTTCAAATTTGTTAATATATTTGAATATATATATTATAAGTCATAGTTTTTGTATTTGCATAAAAATAAAGAAAAAATATCTCTTTCTACAGTGTTACAAACTACTTTGTGGTGAATCTTTCTGTCGCCGATTTATTGGTTACCATTATATGCATGCCGGTTGCTGTCAGCCAGGCCGTATCGATGGCGTGGAGTCACGGTGAACTCATGTGCAAACTCTCTTCTTATCTCCAGGGTGAGTATGTTTCATGTTTAAAAAATTCTTAAAAAAATAATCGATCATTTTTATTCGATCTGATCACACTTTAAATCTCTCGCGATGTATTACTAATCATTGTTTCATTTTTCGCGACGGTGTACTGTTATTGATTTTATCACTTTTATGCATTGCGTATTTCTTGTCAGTATGCTACATTTTAATATTTTTTTAAACATTTTACACAGGCTTGGAAATAACAAGCAAACTTCTATTGCATATTACTCTATCGTAAAAAAAATCATATCAAGTCGACAAAAATTGTACGCTGATTTTATCGTTGCTTCGATCGTGTCGTAATTATCACGTTGGATGTTTATCAGATAACTCATGTTTCTACGTAAGCAACTCAATTATGCATCGTTCTACAGTAATAGATTTCGGTTTTGCAGAACGCATTTGGTTTTAATACCAAAACATTTCCCCAGCATTCAATGAAAAAAACTCTCGTTATATTTTCATTTGAAATAATATCACCGTCTTTTACACTCGCGTATCCTGATGTAAAGCGCCAAATAAGTTACGCATATTCGCATTTCTTCGAAGCGTCTATTAACATTTTTCTTTGCCTCGAAACTTTCACAACCAGTCGCTTTTAATGTAGACGAAAATTTATTTCCAGACAATTTAAAAAAGAATAACGATTCTTGTCGCGATAAAAGAACAAGTTGTTTCAAATAAAACATATTAACCTCGGAAACAAGATCATATCAAACATATATGTTTATATGAACTTTTTTTCTTGTTTTTGTATTCTGAATTCACTACTGCAATACTTCCCATTTATTAGGGAACATCCTGTATATAATAAAGAAATAATAATAATAATAAATATAATAAAAGTAAATACTTATGTAAACAAACATTCTGTGTAATTTTCATTCACCCAGCATAACTCCTTCTTGGTGTTGGGATTTCCATTTCCGTCAGATGTTAACTGCAAAGTGCAAAAGTAATAAAAAAGACATAAAAAATAAAAATTAAATTTCGTAAAATTCACAATTTATAGAGTACGATTCATAGCCTATTTGTAATCAGATCGTAAAATTTAGGAGTGGATACATATGTATACAGTTATATATAATAGTAGACATACATATATAGTAGAAATGTTTCAAATATACGCATGTTGATAAATATATTTTTTAAGCACAAGATGTTATCGTGAAAAATAAAGGTTTTTACGAAGTTAAACTTACCGACAACACCGAAATCGACTAACAATCTGAGGACATTGTACGGCAGCCAGCACAGGGCGAAAAGTACAGCAAGGAGCAGCAATATCCAGGCGATTCGCCTTCTTTCAGTACTTCAAATGCGTTCCGTCTACAAATAGTGACATTATAGGATATTTGATAAGGAATGTGATTTAAATTTCTCAATGGAGAAACTAGATAACAAAGCAATTATATTTAACGGACATTGAAGTAGATTATATATTGTGCATTATTTCCAATGTACGCATATGTATAAAAAAAATATAGGAAAACAGAATTTATTTTTTAGAAATATGAACCAACCATCTCGTCGGTTACATATACATACATATATACATACATATATATATATATATATATATATATATGTATATATATATATATGCCTCGAAACTTTCACAACCAGTCGCTTTTAATGTAGACGAAAATTTATTTCCAGACAATTTAAAAAAGAATAACGATTCTTGTCGCGATAAAAGAACAAGTTGTTTCAAATATATCCTCGCCAAAATGATTTATTTCTCCTGTCATCCAGATAGAACGTATACACGGAATTCCATACGTATGTAATTTCAAATAATGCAATGTTGGCGAAATTCTCTCTCTATCTTTGACAGTTTGTGTTCTAACATCTAAAATTCAACTCACGTTCATATCTCATGTTTGTTATAAAAGTCATTATTATCATAACCAGAGACATGCTATCACCGTTCATGCATGCACACATGAAAGAACAAGGAATGGAAAAGTAAGTGAAGGAAATCAGAAAGCACTCTGCTCTAAAAACAGTTTTCGCATTATTAATGGAATGAAGATTTATGGAAATTATGATTTGAAACGACATGCATTATGTACGGGCAGAAAAACTGATTGTATAAAATATTAATGTCGTAATTGCTTAAATTCGACATTATTGTATATACCTTTAGCTTTGATTCTTATTTCAGTAATTTATGCGATCTAGAATAATTAAAACTTATTTTAATAGTTTTTAATGGTGTTTTTTCCAGTTTCCGCGAAAAAAATCGGTAAACTTATATAAGATAGAAAATTAATATTTCTAATTTCAAATTATCTATTTTTTTTTGTTTCTTTAAACGCGCATTCGTGAAGCTCAATTGCAAAAAAAAAAAAAAAGAAAAATAATGAATATATATTATATAATGGAAGATTTTATCTAGCACGACCTTGTTTTTTGCATATATTAATCTCAATTATATAACGATTTTAAAATGCAGAAGCATATAATTGATTTTGCATATTCGCTAAGGCATATCTCTTTGCAACTTTTCTCTCAATTTTTCTCTTTTTTTCTAAATAACTATTTTATATAATCCATTTTTCCATTTTATATAATACAACGGGCGAAAGTCTCTGATGGAACCTTCTAACAATAAGTGAAGCTGATAAAAATCTCGAGCGAGTGTCCTGACAAAAACGTAAAATAATGTAACATATGCGCATATTACTATGTAATTAATGTATTCTGTCTCTTTATAACAAGCTCTTCAAAGACTCGTTAATGATGTAAAAATCAAAGCACATAAATGTCCGTTGTTGATAAAATGGTCAAAGAAGGGCACACATATTTTTAATAACTCGTATATAAAAAACGTTATTTTATCGTTTGTAGTACGAGATGGAATCACGGACAATACTAGCTTGTAAATTTTAACAAGCAAACACGTCGTAAAAATAATGCGATATTGCTACTGTATATTTTATATATACGTATAGATGTTGATGTTTGCACGTTTGTTATATTTAAAATATTTCATGAATGTTCCATAAAACGTGTGAATGAGACTATGAAGTTAAAATTTACAATACATAACGATTCAAGAGAAGAACATTAAAAATTAGCAATAAGTTAAAGGTGTTTTGAATTAAACACTCGCAGCTAAAAAGTGACTAAAACAAAAATAAATTTTTAAATTAAAATAAAACGGCATTAAGAATAAGTTACTAGAGCAATTCTCCCTCTTTTAGTAGCGATTTGAATAACATAGTCCGCTTCACACGTTACCGAAATTAGATTAGGCAAGCGAGGATGTGATTGATTAAGGAAACGCGACAATGATACTCGAAATTTTCATCTCCTGACCAGATAATCACTCGTGTTCGTAGGTGTTGCGGTTGCAGCCTCGGTATTCACCATTACAGCCATGAGTATTGACAGATATCTAGCGATAAGGAGTCCCATGGCGTTCCGCCGTGTATTCAATCGCAAGAGCACCGTACTCGTTATCGTTGCTCTCTGGCTGGTGGCCTTGACTATCTTCGCTCCCGTTCTCAGAGGGGTAAGTGAAATCTTAGTTGATATATTGAACTTCCATGCGTTAATTGATGAGCATATCGACATTTGCCACAAAGAGAATATGAAATAGCCCATAAATTCGCTCACATATTGTGCGCACATAGCAATATCATTCGCTTGACACAAATGGTAAAAATAGAATTTATAATATTTTATTGAAGCATTTTTTAATATTATTTTTATTTTGGGATAATGTATAAAATTGTATTTGTTATTTGTGGAGTTACAAAGAATATTTATAACGCGATACAATATTTATAAACTACTTTGGAATTTTTTGTTGTACGATACCGATCGTGAAAATGGATTTACAAACAAATTTATGTCAGAAGAATCGTCCCGGTTGCTAATGCGGATCTACCCGCACGAGGAGTATAAATGATATACGCGCGAATTAGGATGTATTTTGATTCCTTCGGGAGAGACGGGATCTCGTAGGCGGCCATACTTTGCGGCTCTATCGCACCGCTGGGATGTATTTATCCTCCTATATGCAAATCTCTTTTTGGTCAGCCAAAAGGGAACGTACTTGCCCATGACGTGTACATTCATAGTCATTAGATTCAACACATCTGTGCTTTATGACAAAGTTGGTATAAATGTTCGTATAAATAATAAACGCTCCAGCTTTCGCATCTGGCTTGTGTGTGTCCGTCGTAAATAGAAATTTGGGATAACATTCTCAAACAATCAATGGGACATGAGAACATCTATCGAAAACCGAAAAGTGCGCGAAATTATTGGAAAGATATTCGCGAGAAAGTCGGATATTAAGATAAGTATTCTGGACGGATACGCAAATAATGGATTAACAAGCTCGCAAGCTCGTACGAAGAAGGGGAGAATTCGGCAAATATAGTTTAGATGAAACTAATTCAAACAAGACGAGGGAAGTGCATACTCTGCAAAATGGAAACGCCGTCGACGCGGCATGCTAAAATCGACGTAGCGTGCGAAACGCAAGTCGAAGTTGCCGTGACCCGACCGATCCATGTTAGTACCGCTCGCTTACATCCGCATTTTCCGAGTTTTTCCAGAGAAGTCATTTTGCCCGATATACTCGCGGCGTATTGTGCACGTACTCCGTTTGACTGACTATCGCTCGGATGTAAAGCAAAATATAGTTAACATAAGGCAAAATAAGTCGCTCTCTTTCCTGCAGTCCCTTTTCGCGAATCATAAAACTGATTGGCTTTCGAACGGAGAAAATATGATGGCATGCAGATTCGGGAGAGCAATACGAGAAATTATTGAGCACCATTTCGTGGTACGCTTATATTAAGATCCTATTTTTGAAAATATATGTATGCAATAATAGCGAGCTTTTTTTTTTTATATAAACTCTGCATTATTTAGATGACTACTTTTAAGTCTACTACATATAAAGTCATTCCATTTTATATCTGAAAATCTCTTGTCATGATATCTCATTTCAGGATAAATTTGCTTGGAAATCTCTTCTTTAATCCGACATTGAACCCGTAAGTCAATGTGCAATGCGGAACATCTCAAGAAAACAAAAAATATCAAAAGCAAAATTCTTGCAGAGATGAGGAATATATTATATACACTGAATATAATTTCTGTACACTGAACTAATTTATATATATTATATATATACGTTGCAACAAGACATTTGTGAATGAGGATGTAGCATGACGTCATTTGGATGAGTGGATCGATTATTAAACGGCGATACAACCACAATGCACTAATTGTAAGTGCTATCTGTTTGGAAACTATAGTCTAGGAGAGGGTTAGCTCTTTGCTGAGAAGATGCGATAAGAAAGATGCATTCCTTCCTTCACATTCACGTTTAAACGTTTTTACGTTAAATAAACCGCTTAATTGATTAACTTTACTTATACCTTTAATAGAATCAATAATCGAATGAATTCATGTATAATGCAGTGACATTTAATATAATTATAAAATATAATTAATTCAAACAATTAATAAAGTATCATCAATTAATAAAGTATCATTAACTTTATCAGTCACCAAATTTCTCTATTACCTTTGTTATAAAGCTAAAAAGAATAAAGTGCATAAATTAAGAATTGAAATAATAACCGCGGCTATTCTTTCAATTATACAAAGCATTGTTTGCAATAATGATTAAAGAATTGCATCATGTTTACTATCGCCAAATAGATTCTAAGCACACCGCAAAACGATCAAAGATTGCTGAGAAAAACGAAATGCAAATGAATTGCAGGCAAATGAACATTCGCATGTCCATTAGTTAAATTAATCACGTGCACGTCATGGAGCAAGGTTATTAATTATTCTAGTTCTTTAAAATCCGCAATCTATTTAGCGCGTCAATGGCGGCGCAATAATAATTAATCGGATGGAAAATGTGCATCTGAGAAAGAAAATTTTTGAAAATTTTATAAGGAATTATTGGAAGCTACTATTTGATACGACAGAAATGTATTTTGCAAGAGAGAACTTGGTACTGAAAACTACTGCAAAATAAAAGTGGCAGTGTTATGTCCACTCTACTGGCCATGCTATCACAAGTTTCATCTCTTCCCGCAGATGACTCTTCACAATCCGAGTACGGAATTCTCCAACATAACTTTCCACGGTTCCTGGATAGGAAATTTTTCTCACGATATCTCGCGGCTACCACCGGTTTTCTACATTTGCTTGGAGGATCTCAGGCCACTAGGCATCAGGGCGCACATCTTCGGGACTGCGTACTTCGTTCTTGTTTACGCTATTCCAGGTAAATTTTCATGATAATAATGAATATTCTCTCTCTCTCTTTCTTTTTCTTTTACATGGCTTTATCGCAAGAAAAATGATATCGGTTATATTGCTTCTAGCAAATTTTATATGCGAGAAATAAAACGAGGGAGAGCACTAACACGAGAATATGTTGGTCATGATATTAGGTCAAATACATTATTTTATCATCGTATTACCAACGACAGTTACCGCGTATTATTGTGTGGTATTAATTAACTATTATAATATAAATTATTTATATTTGATAATCTATAATTTGATATGAATTTATATCTATAATTTGATATGAATTTATATGACCTTTAATATTTTAATTTTCCCAAATTCCTGTAAGATTTATAAACGATCGTTGCTTTTAATTTAGCGAGAAAATTTTTAAGAATTTGAAGTCCTGCCTTCCATCTCGTTTCTTTATAGCGAGTCAGAGGAATTTCTTAATATCTCAAATCACCCCGGATATACATATATATATTCGCTTGTCACTTCTCGCGAACCTGAATACTAAATCATTTCGTCGTGCCTAGAAACAAATATACATGCTTTCAGCTATGAAGGTAAATCGAAAACAAATTGCGCGTCACTGATTGATTTAAGGAGAGCGACGGGGCCCCCGCACGTGACATGGTATCTGAATATTCTTAACACGTTCACCGTCAGCAACGCTTTTCTTCCGCATATTTTTGTCTCCCATTCCTAACTCAATATAACATCTCAAGATTCGAACTTGTTATCTATGAAGAAATTGTCATTTTGAGAGTTAGATGTCATGCGATAGTAAATTTTAGCCTTGGCATTTAATGATATTAATTGTACATTTACTATTGTATCCCAGCACCGTGATTTGGGAGCGTGACTTGTAAAATCGGTCATTTGTCTTCGTTTCCGTCTTCTTTTACAACGCTCTTTCTTATTGCATGTTTTGGACGATTTAGGTTTCGTTGTAATACTGTCCTACTCGATGATGGGCCGCACCCTCTGCTCTAGGAAACCGCCCTTCGACTGCGACAGCGTCGAGGGAAGCGCCAGCTCACAGCAGGTTAGATCAAATTGTTTTTATTGTAATATATGATGTCCAATGACCATTAAATAACATGAAATGTTCATTGATGATCAAGCTGTCAGTTTTGCAGTAGATATTCTCGCGCGACTCTTTATTCATCAAATGATACAGCGTATTTTTTTGTACGATATAAATATAATACTAAAATATATATATATATATATTACATTCTTTCTCTCATTGCAATAGAATTATTTTATTTTACCGATAAAAGAAGATCTGCGATTTCGTTTATTTGTATCGTAATATATCAATCGCATGATTGATATATTACAATCAAGCACATGATTGTAATCGCTCGAGTAGAAAAAATGTAAAACCGTTACACAACGCTTTATAGAACGATATCTGATATTTATAGAACGATACCTGAATTTGCGTGAGTGCGAATCATTTGTCGTAAATCTATTTTACAACTGCCGATTGCGAAAGTCTGTCGAAAGATATCCTCTCATCGAGTTTAATCGAATCGCGTCATTCTAGATGCTTTATGACAAAAATCCTACTCTAGTTTGTTAAAGTTCGTCCAATCCGTACGTGAGCTCGTTGCCGATAATTGCAATTCAATGACGGGAAATTTGCCATTCATATTATTCTCTCTCGGCGCAATGCTATTCGCGTTCATTATTTCAAATGTGTTAAATACGATTTAACTCGATTTTTATTAAAATTCAATGTTAATGACAGCTTTATTAAAATTCTCTGGCGGTAAAAACAAGCGGTAAAACATTTCTTATATATTTTAAAATTTTTTAATTATAACTTGGAAATAATAAAATTTTACAAAATAGGCAATTACGCCTGATGTAAGACAGTTCTTCTCTTAGTTTGTCGCTAATCGATTCGTCGATAAAAGACACAACGTACAAAAGATGAAAGCAATTTGATCCATATGCTACAATTTATTATACCGCTCTGAATTAAAACTAACGAAGAAGAAGGTAAATTGCAATAGAATTTAATCCTTTGCATAATTTTATTTTGTGATACCAATACGATCTTTTTTTCCGCACGTCGTAGTACCATCTGCGCCGCGGTGCGAGAAATTAGTTACAAATAAACTACAAACGAGCTCCATGAACTTCGTGAGATTGTATTGTATGTATGTACGATTTCCCTCTTCGAGTAACGCCGTGCAATTTCCGCAGCGTGATATCGCTGAAGAATACACGTGTGCACCTGTGACTAGTGACCTTCCATCGTATAAATAAAGGCTAATAACATAATCTTTATGCGTGGAATACCTTTCTGTGAAATTATTCCGATAACACGTGCGAGACCTTTCAAAATGTTTACCGATGACTTTTTCGTAACGCAATCAATCGGTTTATCGTGCATTAATTAAACAAAATAACATCCGCCTAGTCGACGTAATTCAAAATGCGACAATCGATCAGTTCTAATCGGGCGGTTGACCGGACTCGTTTCGTTTGTTCCGTAATTGTTCGAAATCTATCTTATGCTAATCCTCGCGGAATTCATTAGCCGTACGATTAATTTCAATCTAAACTCAGTAGACGCGCTGATACCTTCTATTCGTAGAGCTTCAGATTGGTACGTGAAAGAAGGCGAATCGCCTGGATATTGCTGCTCCTTGCTGTACTTTTCGCCCTGTGCTGGCTGCCGTACAATGTCCTCAGATTGTTAGTCGATTTCGGTGTTGTCGGTAAGTTTAACTTCGTAAAAACCTTTATTTTTCACCATAACATCTTGTGCTTAAAAAATATATTTATCAACATGCGTATATTTGAAACATTTCTACTATATATGTATGTCTACTATTATATATAACTGTATACATATGTATCCACTCCTAAATTTTACGATCTGATTACAAATAGGCTATGAATCGTACTCTATAAATTGTGAATTTTACGAAATTTAATTTTTATTTTTTATGTCTTTTTTATTACTTTTGCACTTTGCAGTTAACATCTGACGGAAATGGAAATCCCAACAGCAAGAAGGAGTTATGCTGGGTGAATGAAAATTACACAGAATGTTTATTTACATAAGTATTTACTTTTATTACATTTTCTTTATTTTTTTTATTACATATATTATTTATTTATTTATATATTTTTATTATTTTATGTATAGACGCACACACACACACACACACACACACACACACACACACACACACACACACACACACACACACACACACACACTTCACCCAGCATAATTCCTTTTTGATGTTGGGATTTCAATTTCCGTCAGAATATTTATATGCGTTTGAAACACTGTCCATTCCCGATTATACTATGTAAACCATGCAGCTCTTTACGATCAACCGTGTGTATATTCATATCTATTATGGGCTTCCACTCTATTATTCATTGTAGAAAAAACATCAATTTTATTTTTTCACGCGAGCAAGCGAATATATCTTTTATAAATCATGAATCGATTGCACGCATAAAAAAAAATATATGTAGAGAGAAGTGCAAAGAGATTCAATCTTTTTACGGATGGGTTATTAGAAATTTTACCGAGTTAACGAGCTGATATAAACGAGTATGTCACTAACAGCTGCGAATGGGTAAAGGATGTTCGGTTGATAAAATCCTCGGAATTACTCGAGTCGAGAAGCAGTCTAAATGCAGCGATAATTTAGCTTCTATTGCTTAGATACGCGAAGCCCGAATAATACTACTACACATATGAAATTAGGAAGCAACCATGCGCAATGACGATGACGATGCATTAATTTCCGAAATGGGAATGAATTTAATTAATTAAACACACATTGTGCAATTTTATATTTTTATCCTTTTTTTCTCTCTTTTTTTCTCGGTACAGCATATATTTTACTTAAGCCAAAGTACAAAAATTACGCTTATAGAATTGCAAATAAAATGTGCGCGTATAGAAATTAATCCAAATTTACAAACTACATGAAATACATTAGCTTAATCCTCCGAGTTATTTTGTACTTTATTGAAAGCAATGGTATTCTAGTTTGTTGAAATGAGCATGTGAGTTTCATACCGTCACGCGTTATCTACTTTAAACCTTTGTGCAAACGTGTATTTATGAAATTCGGTGCCTACGAGCTTTCTCTTTATATCATTGTGCCACAAATGCACTCGCTCTTTTGTTAACGATGCTTTGACATTCCTCCTCCTGTTTATTACACGATGCTTCCACCAATAGTGTATTCTCTCTACAATTCATATTAAATTGCATTAATTTTCCTCGTACATGCCTATGTTCCTGTAAAGATGAGATTTGACAAATTGTCGATTAAAACCACCAACACAAAGCAGACATATCATTATATTATTATTATATAAGCAGATTATCATTTCTAATAATTATTTTACTAAATAAAAGATGCAAAAATGAATAATATGATGTAACGCGACCATAAAAAAAAAATTCACGTGCATCGTCTCATTACAAATTTTCTCATTTTTTATATTGCAGAATTTAAATACTTTTGTATTCTTCATCCATCTCTTCTCGGAAGAGAAAAATATGATCATTTTTATATTGGCAACATACGACGACGCATTTTAATTAATCCTCCACACCCATCCAGAAAAAAAGCCGTGATAAAAAGATCATTGGAAATTGTTCGCAGAAGAATGGAGATCGATAACGGATGCTCTCCCGTACTGCCTGTTCCTGGGACATGCAAATAGCGCCCTGAACCCCGTTGTCTATTGCTTCATGACGCGCAATTTTCGCCGCAGCGTTTCAGAGATCCTGCGTCGCACATCTCATAGTCTGGCGCGTCGTAAACCTCGCCGCAAAGTAAGTATTAGTTATATACCGCGATACACACGGGAATCCCAATAAATAAATAAATAAATAAATATATATATAATATGTTTATACATGAGGAAATGTACGTTAAAAGAAATATTTCCAACCGAAGAAACATAAAAACTTTTTACGCGATATCAAACTGAATCCATCAGGGCGCATCAGGACTTCTTTTCTATATATAGGACATTTTCCTCTAATAATAATTATTTCCATGGGAATATTTTTTAATAATATACTTCTCTGACAGCTAATAATATTGGTTGATCATTTAACGTAAGAGCACACGGTTGCAGGTGATGTAAGCTCATTCTATAATGTCGAAGAAATAACGATCGCGATTGGATTACTTGAATATTTGCCACTGGTTATGCGTCTCAAATAAAAAATAAAATTCATATGAAAAATACTGCTTTAAACTGCTTCTGAATATTTATATGTAGAAATAATAACTGATATGAAATAACTGATGTTCCCGAGCATAAAATTGGAAATTTAATTTTGCGTGAATTACGACGTATTTTATGTTTTAAATCGAATATACGTTTTAAATCATATTTAAAAAAACGTATATTATTGCAAACACAATATAGATTGTTGAATGTTTTTTATATCTAAAATAAATGATACTTGCAAATAAAGAGAGGGATTCGATGTGTAAGCCAGTAATAAATTGCTGGCGTTAACAGATAAAATTGCTGGTCTGAAATTCTTGCCGGTTATAAGTACTTATGGTTATTTGTTACCATTAAAAATACTTATTATTAAAATGAAATTTATAATTTAGAACAATTAATCAAAATCCTTTATATCTATTATACTATATATTTTGCTACTGTATATTTTCTATCAAAATAAACTAATAACAGCTCTTATGAATATATCACACGAAGGAGATAAAAGGCAATCAAGAGCCAGCGCGGTAATTTATGCGCATATGTTTTATTATAATCAAATAACATTTATATTTTAACTAAATGATAGACACAATCACAAAAAGCGTGCGTTTCAGTCCTTTTTTTTTTTTTTTAACCATCTTCAGCGCAATTACAAAATATATAGAATATATTATATCAAAAATGTAATAGTAATAATACGCAGAACAAGAGTGAGTCATCCATGTTATCAAAAGATAAATGTTTTATAATGGAATTTCGAGACAGAAAGAGACTGTCCGATAAAATGTACTTGCGCTGAAAATAGTCCAAAAAAAGGACCGAAACGTACGCTTTTTGTGTCTATCACTCTTATTGTTAGTTAAAATATCGATGTAATTTGATTGTAATAAAACATACGCGTACAAATTATCGCGCTGGCTTTTAATTGCCTTTTGTCTCCTTCGTATGTATATTTTTTGTTTTATGTTATTTGTATATTTTTACTGATGTAATATAATTTTTTTTTAATTCTTTTTTTTTTATTTTGTACTGGACTCTATCTGATGATTTTTTCGTTTTTTAAGGAAAAAGAGGCAAAATTTTTTTTGCTGCTACATAGGTGTTTATGGGACTATCCAAGTATTCCCCCGAGCGAGTTTCTATATTTCACTTGAGGGAACATCTATGTGAGCACCTCCCACATATCTTTCAATTAGATCTTTCGCTTACCCGCTTTATCTGCTCATCTTTCATGAGTGGCAATAACAATTTCTTACGGATTTTACGACTGTGCGATAGAAACTCGTCGAGTTTGCGTCTTTCAATTCTAAGGTTTTCTTCGCTATACGGAATCAATTACACAACTTACGGAAATATTTAAGAAAAATAGTCAATATTAGAAATATGAGCGCAACAAAAACAAATTCAATTATTCCTCCATTATATTGATATTTAATATCAATCAAAATAGAGATATAAATATAATACTATAAATTATATTAAATCTTTTGTATCTCTCATTCTCTTAACGAAATAATAACGATCTCTTGAGTTTTGAAGCTTTGCAGTGGAATAACAGGTAGTTTATATTCAATGCATGATAATTAACGAGAATAAAGACGGATCTGAAATAGTAATTAACGTATGTTTGATATGTCTGTTAACGTAATAATCGCATAACTATAATGAATACTAAACTTGCGCCAAGTACTTCATTGCAAATTCCTTACTCCAAATAGATGTAAGCAATTGTTCGCTGGTTGAATGCTGCTGTTATGCCGAAGGCTATTGTCGACTGACGGGTAAAATGAGAGAAAATTGGGTATGCTCCGTGCAACTTTTAAATTGATCTCAATGCAGCCTTTAACATGGATAGAATAAAAATGACGATTAGATCCTTTCGCATGTACGTTATTTGAGTGAATAATGTTATAGCTTAAATTTTTTTATATTTTCTTCTTTTTAAAATTAAAATGAAACAATAAAGGCTCTTACAAATGTATTATACAAAGGTGGGGAAGGACAATTAAGAGCTACCGCGATAATTTGTGCGCAAGTTTTGTTATGATCAAATTATATTAACATAAAATAGCGAAATATACGCTTTTTATTATTAAGTAACTATCGCTACTTTATGTTAATATAATTTGATTATAAATTTATAAAAAAATTGTTGATTATAAAAAAAATTTACGCACGAATTACCACACTAGCTTTTAATTGTCTTCTCTCATCTTTATATGATTCTTCTTTCTATTTTATATTCGCGCAAATACAATAATTCTAAAAGAATTGAAAGTAATCTGTAACATAAAATGGCAAATTTTTGCGCACATAATTAACTTATACAGTAATTTTCTGTTTTAAAAAGACAATTTTTAAAATTTAATTTTTATATTTACGATACAATAATAGTCTCTTATAGCCCGTCCTTGTACGACCCCGCGTTCGCGAAAATATGTTCTCATTTCTTTTCTTTTTCTTCATTTTTTTGATGAAATTCTAAGAATCAATGCAATGAAAAATTCGATAACAGCGCTCTTGGGATGAACATCTTTACTTTTTCTTATTTCGAGATGTATTGCACAGAGCTTTACAAGAACTGAGTTTAAAAAATTCTTTTATCGTTGACATAAATTTATATCTCTCGAACTTTATTCATCGCGAACATATCCCAAAGTAAAATTGAAAAAAAAAAATTAGATCTCGCGGTAATATCTCTAAGATTTTTCTTCTCTTCGCGGTTGTAGGTCAATTTTTTTTTATTTTAAAAGAATTAAATGAAGAAACCAAGTTCTTCAAATTAATAGATAAGCATAACAAATTGAAATTTGAATGATTATTATATCGCCAGATCGGTAATATGATGTAATCAAAACATAAAGCCAGTAAAAACTCAAACTTATCGAAGACATATATACAGGATGTCCGAAGTCAATCGCATCACTTGTCGTGTGTAGATAGAGCAGGTAAAATCGAGGAGAAAAGTTCTTTACCATTTTGCGATTTTCGTAATAATTATTGAGAAATTAATTTAAGATCTTTTTAAATTAATTTCTCAATAATTATTACGAAAATCGCAAAATAGTAAAGGACTTTTTTCCTCGGTTTCACCTGTTCTATCTGCACACGAGAGGTGATACGGTCAATATCAGACATTCTGTATATATATATCGTATATGTATATGTATAAAATATACAACATGAATATAATCGATCTTCTTGATGTCACACAAACGTATACACATATTTTGATTTACATTGAGACTATTAATAAAAATGTGGTAGATGTAATCAATACAATAATAATATAAAATCGCGATGATAAGCAATGAAAGGCAGAAATATATATATATATTGTATGAATATTTCTCCGAACCGTATCAAAAGCATATTTAAAGATATGTAAATAAAAAAATTATAAGTATAAGATTACAAATATAAAATTACATGTATAATTACAATCATTACAGTTATCAATTAATGAGAAATAATAAAGCTGATAAGAAATATGACTCAGAGATGAATAATTTTTGTTATTTACATAATTTTTATATAATTACAATTTTCCTGACAACGAATTAATAATAATAAAATATATATTCCATATTAAATTTTAACGTGTATATAAACTATTGCAAGAAAGTTCAATAATGATTGCTTAATTAAAATTTGATAGAATCGATATTGTGTGTATGATTAAATTATCAGCTCCACTGATTTTAATTATTTGTTCTGGAATATCGGCTAGAATATTTAACAAAGTTTTAATATCGTATCGCGCAAAATATCGGATACTAATCTCTTACACTTTAGATGTGTATGATATCACCCAACTTTAAAGTCTCTCATGATGCATGAATAATATATCCCGATAAGATTGACAATATTTAATATAGATTTTAGGGTTGCCCTTTTCAATAATTTATTATTTAAAAACCATTGATATGTCTGCTGAAAGGAATCACTAAAATATATATCATCGACATATATGTATAATATTTGATATACTCTATTCTCTATAGACATTAGAATTAAGTGTCCAATCGATGAACCAAAGATACGACGATAAACAACTGCTAACTGTTTGACATTTGGGGCCAAAATTTAATGATAGAATGTACATGAAAATATTATAGATGATATCTTAAACCATAATACTAATTTAAATTATATTAAGTTATATATAACGTAATTTTTTTATCATCTCCCTTTCTGTATGTAATTTGATAAAATATTACCTTTGCAATTTGATAGAATGAAAGTAGTAAACTGTAATTATTACAATAAATTACAGCGAATATGACAGATATTTTTGCTATACGCTGCTTGATCTCTGAAATTCTGCGTGTAAAACCGCAATCAATACCGCGGTTCTGTAACGGATTTGTTAAGAGGACAACTCAGGTTTTACACTTTTGCGCGTCTATTCCTTTGTTGGTATTAATTAGAATGTCTGTGACGAAATACTTTCTGTACTAAACGGATCGCCAAGGTACTCGCTTTCAAAGAGCTGCTCCATTGTAAAATTCCTTTTACAGTTCTTTTATTTTCTTGAAGCAAATTTGCCGCTGAAGTCAGATTTAATTTACTTTCTTTCGTACATAAGAGAGAACTATGTAATAAGCGAGAAAAACCTTTCCGACCGGAACTTCAAGTATTTAAATTATAACAGTAAAATAAACTCTAGTTAATTAACTCATTTATATTATCATCAAGCAGAAGAATCATGTATATCAAGCAAGAAAATAATGCGCAGTTAATGTGAGATATTTTTGTTATATGTCCTGCATTCTAGTCGGATATGTAGTCTCATTTTTCTCAGTTTATACTTTCTACTATAAGTACTGTATGTGCAATATTTCATACATGCGTATATTCCTATATTACAGGCAAACTTCGAGCTTTTAAAAAATTCGTTTGCTTTATGCGCAATTTATGTAAACGCACTTTTTTCTAATATATATATATATATATACAGGGTGCGGCATTTATAGTGACGCGGGCATATTTTTCGGAAACGAAGTGAGACTTTTATGTACAGAATAATAGTGCAAAACGCGTATGTTTCATAACAACAATTTGGAGTATATCATTTTATTGCAAAATTCATATTTTACAAAAAAAGATCGAAACAAACAACTCATGTTTTCATATAAAAAAACAATACAGTGCACAATATGTATATGTACAATGGCAATATCGTATCTTGAGTACATATGCACGAGAGATTCACAAATTTTATATGTATATTGTCGTACGTTACTTGTTCAAACTATTTACTTTATTCCATATACGTCAAAATGTATATTCATATTTTGCATTGTAAACTTGCTGAACCCCTAGGACAGAATTAACTATATTTCATTTTGTATGTGTATCTGACATGTAATATTTATCACCTTGAGATCTCTTTGTTGTCATTTTATGTGCATCACAATTAATGCTCATACGTTATATATTTTCATATTAATTACAAAATACTAATAAGAGAGACAAAAAGAGAGATGTGTTTTTTTTCTCTATCTTATGTATTATCAAAAGCTTTTATACATATTTTATGTAATCATTATTATATATCAGATATAAACGATGACATAATGTTTTATCATTTTCTTTTTCATTTATCGTGCACATTCAGAAGAGTATAAAGATAATATTAAAATACGTATAATAAAATTAAAATGTTAAATATTAAATATTAAATGTTCTGCAAAAAATAACATTTTCGTCTTTTTTATGTTTTTTGTCATTTCATAAATTCGAGCAATGCAAGAGATTAGGACGGAATTTTCTGTGTATGTAGAGATGCTGCTGGGATTTGGATGAAGTCCCTTAACTCCAACGAAGTTGAAAATATGCGATACGACTTCGGCTAAAAGTCGGTTCCACTGCAACGATTCCATAAAAAATGTTATATAAAAAAAATTTTTTTAAATGTATGTATATTATCAAAAAGAAATTTCTTAACACAAATATAAAATTATAATTATATCTCTTTCCTTATTTTAAATGTCTATTTTTGTATATATATATATATATATATATATATATATATATATATATATATATATAACGTGTATATATATTATATTTATATATCGGTAAGTTCTTGCGTTATATGCGTCAATTCGATAAATCCACGAACACAACAGATGCAAATGAATTACAAAAAAATACTCGATGATGCGGTTGAAATAAAAATTGTCGTGAAATTTTTCAGCTTTGATTTTTTGCAAAAAATCTCAAAACAAGCATTGTAAACACTCGATGTAAATACCCAAATTGCGCTTATTACACATATTCGCGAAATATGAAATATGATAAACGCCAAATTGTAACGATGACGCGCGATATTAACACACCAAATTTAATTCGGAATAATTACAGTTGCATTTTTCCGCGATTATTAATTATGCGAGCAATTAATTGCAATTCGTGCTCGCGCATCCACGTAGCAATAATGTCAAAAATGTTTAAGATAAATTATTATCCACAGACAAAGCACTTGAAATGTATTATGAAACTCACAATTAGAGAACGTAATGTGCAGTTAAACACATTTTGTTATCGAACATCGTGATAAAATAATTTATGTATTGTCAAATACACGCGCGCGAGGAAAGCTCGACGCAACGTTGTCATGCATCCCATCGCATGTTCATGCACTTTTTATGCACAAGGCATTTACGTACAAACGTTCGCACACACATTCGCACAGAAATCAACGGGCAAAGGACAAACGCACGCATTCAATATCGATGAATTATTCTAAAGTACAAAGGGTGCCTCCATCATGGAATTTATATGATCGGCGAGTTACTTAGCGCGCTGTAATTTTCGAATTGGTGGGATATGCACGAGAGTATCGTGTGATTCCATCAAATGACCCAATATAAATTCCCCGCGTAAGCACGTGAAATTATAGCGCGCGCGTGATGAATGTACGCAGTTTGCAGGGGTCGCAGCATCCCGTCTGATAAGGAAATTTACCAAATATGAGAGGCATTTCGTAAATGCGTGCGTTCGGCTTTAATCCAATTTCACATTATATTATGATCATCTTGATTATTTTTATTATTTCACGGCTAAAATTATTAAAGCGATAATGACAGTGCACTGAATATTTAATGCAATTTATCGGTTTATTATCGATAATGGAATCTGATTTAAATTAATGGTTGATTTTAACTGCTGCTTGGTTAAGGATTTTAGGAGCGAAGAAAATCTACTTCTAAAATCTCAAAAATAAAACCGCAAGCTATTATAAAGACGTTATGAAGCAGCATAAATGCGCGACGCAAAGCGAGAACATTATTATTGAATCACATAGTACCGGTATGACCTCACCGCATAAATGGATCAAGATAACAGAATTATAATACAGCTATGCGCAGCCGATATAGATATGCGCAGCGCAATTCGCATTGCATTATCGTTGACGCGATATTCTGATAAGTAGAATTCTCGATATCACTATCCGCCCAATTAGAGGACTCGATGTTACGCGTGAAAGAAAGTTGCACCATTTTTTCTGCTTTATTCAAAATTAGTTTTCTGAATCATTGCCTCTCGTAAGAATCTTATTTTACTAAACTATCGGTTAAGTCTACAACAACGCTCTTTCCAGCAATTTCATCGTCATTTTCGCGCCTGGTTGGACAGAAATTGAATTCACATGCCGTTCATGTTATGACGCGAGGATCGCAATCGAAAGCCGATCTTTGGCACTGTTACAGAGCGCGATAATAGATGACGGCTGCGGCGGTTGCAGCGTGCCAGCTGTCAACGGCGGCGCGCGGCGCAATCTGTCACATCAGCGAAGAATGTTACCCGGATGCGGCTGCGGCATCCCCATGCGCGGTAATCGTAACGCCATCCTGGCGTTAAGACGTACCGCAACGTCCAGCAGCGGCTACGACACTTTCTACAGCCGTCACAGTCCGCACTTGCACTGCTACATGCTGAGGAGTATCCGTGACGTGCCGCAGGCGCAGGCCAATAATCCACCGGAGAATTCCGACGCCAGACGGAATCAGGCACGGCAAGAATACCATAAGAATAACGGATTGGACAGCAGCCAGCCCCAACCGAGCACTTTGTGCACCACGGATGGGCGACGTCCTTTTCCTTGAACCTGAAGACTCTCGACGCGCGTCTCGAGTCTCGAACGGATCTCCGTGCGCGACTACATGTTTTTATGTTCGATTTTTATTCCTATGCGATGTCTAAATATATACATATTTATTCGGATATTCTTCGGAGATTAATACTGTGACATATACTGTGTAATATATGATGAGAATCATTTTTATCATTTTTTTATTCCACCGGGGAATTTTGGCCTTGCTTTTTCATCACGCATTGCCGGATATCACGATGATTCGTAATAGATTTAATGTAAATAAATAGTAAATGAAATCTCTT